GAGGCCTGCAGAGCCAAGGAGGCCGGTGCCCCCAGGCAGCTCGGGCTCCCAGCGGTGAAGCGGGGTACCGGCTGACCTACCTCAGAGGGGCTCACATGAGACGTGCACCTGGTCCCCAGTTCCCAGGCCTGGGGCCGGGGGCACCTGTGCTAAGGTTGGAAATCCATGGAGGCTCCAGAGCTCCGCCACGGCGTTGTGGGCAAGTGACAGAGTCAGGAAGCCAGATGCTGTCACCGGGAGCTGCCAGGGACCGACAAGGTGACCGGGCCACTGCCCGGGGCGACGGGACCCCTAGCCTTTGCCTTGGCTGCAACCTGGGGACCTCTAAGGGGCGGGGTCGCCTGCTGGTGGGACCTGGGGGACTCAGGGGTTCCGACCCTCAGGCTGAGACAGTGTCCCCAGGGTGCAGAGCCCATGCGGCCTGAACACCAGGCTCCGGCGCCCCCCAGGGTACAGCCGGGGACCCTCTGTCTCCGGGAGCGAGGAGCGAACCCTGCCTCTGCGCAAGCTGAGGGCGGGCGGGCGCCCGAGGGCTCTTCGGGTCACCCCTGCCGGCCTGCCACTCGCCCCGGGCTGAGACAGCAGCTCGGACAGCTGGCGGCGGGCACTGCCCCAGGCGGGGTGCGGGTCACAGCCTCCCTCTGCCACAGACTGACCGGGACAGTGACCGCAGACCGGGACGGCCAGAAACCAAGACTCAGCCAGGGCTCCCTGGGGAGGGGGAGCCCCGAAGCTCTGAGGCCCCGCGCCGGGCGGCCGCAGTGGAGGCCTCCCGGTCCCCTGCCTGCCACAGGGCCCGAGGTGCCAAGGTGGCACCAGCTTCCTGCCTTTCGGCAGAGGAGGTCACCTGCCCTTTCCCGGCAGGCCCCGCTGGCTTGGAATGGAGCTGGGCCGGGAGCGGCCGGGGTGCCGGAGTCCTGCTGGGGCCCGGTCGGTCCACCTGCTGCTCTGGGGCCAGCGGAACGATGGCCACGGACATTCCACCGGACTTGAGCGCCGGGCACCGGGCTCAGACTTCAGAGTTCTGATTCACTTACCCCCCAGGTCACTCGAGGCCCCGCTCCACAGACTGGGAAGCTGCCCAGAGGACAGTAACGCGCCCGCAGCCACACAACAAGCCAGCAGCTAAGCCCAGGGGCGCCCCAACCTGTCCCAGAAAGGAGGCTTCTCGCGGTTTCTGAGCTGGACAGATTGGCCATCTCCGTGGCCACGGGCAAGGCCGGCTTGGCGGTAACCCGCTCAAGCCACCTGGCCAGCTCCCCCTTTACGAACCCCCCAGCCTGCTGTGCCTCCTGCCCCACAGGGCTCTGCAGCTGGGCCAGATGCCTCTAGAGCTGGAACGCTGCGACCCACCGGCGATGACTTCACGGAGGCAGAGTTTTGCAGAGGACAGAACGCGGCTGACGCTGCTTCCCCCGCGTCTCCTGCGGAGGGTTCTCCGCCCCCCGCGGGGCTCTGCGGGGGGGGGGGGGGGGGGCTGCGGGGGCCGAGTTCCGGGGGGGTCGCCCGGCACCGGGTCCTGAGCCCACCTGGGCTACAGCTGAAGTCGTCTCCCCAGGGCTGAGACTGGACTCAGAGCGAACCTGGTGACCGTCAACTGCCCTGTTTCTCATGGTGCAAAAGGCTGCATTTCGGTGACCGCAGGCGCAGCCGACGATTCCCGGGCGGTGCAACCGGATGGGGCGGTTCGGGTCACCCGGGAGGTCCCCGGGAGGACACGCAGACCCGACCTGTCGGGTCTCCAGTTGCTCGCTGGCCTCAGGCGCCGAGAACCTTCCGCGGCGGCGCCTGCGGAGGCCGCCCCCGCCCGCGTGCCCCTGGGCCCCTGCACCCCATGCAGGTAAGTCGCTGCCCGGGGGCCCGGGGGTCTGCATCGCCCGCCGGGGACGCGTGCGCTCCGCCGCCGAGCGCCGTCCTCCGGGGCCCCTGCCCCCGCCGCCCCCGCCGCCCCCTTGGCCTTCCCCGCCGTCCCTGGGCCCCCCAGCGAGTCCCGCCGGCTTCGGGCTTCCCGCGCGGCACCCAGCCGCCCCGCCCCCTCGCCCTGATTGGCTGCGTGGAGGGCACGGGGCCAGCGCCGGCCAATGAGAGGGCGGGACGGCGGCTGGGGGCGGGGCCCTGCGAGGGCGCCGCGCGACCTGGGTCGCCCCCCCCCCCCCCCCCCCGCTGCCCGCTGCCCCCGGAGCCCTTTCCCCGCCCTGCGGTCCGCGGCACGTGTGACGCCCTTCAGCCCCTTCCCCTGCGACGTGACCCGAGTCGCGGCCTCGTGGAGGAGCGGACGGAGGGCGCGGGGCGGGGGGTGGCTCTGGGCGGAGCCCCTGGTGAGGACCGTCAGGCCTCAGTTTCCTCATCTTTAAAATGGGGACAATAGTCCTGTGTCATAAACATGTACCGGGTCCGAGGACTTCATTCACGCGAAGAGCTTAAGCAGCGCACAGCCCGTTCAGAAATCCGCTGTGGAGCCCCGGGGCCGCGGGCAGCTCCCGGGATGCAGGCCTCGGCTGCTGGCTGCTGGGCGCAGGTACCCCCCAGCGGTCGGCGAGGGCTCCCGTTGCTCCCGGTCCCCGTCCCCGCCAGAACCTGGTGACAACCTGAAGGCGCAGCGCGGACTGGCTTTCTGTGCATTTCCCCGCCCGCGGTGAGGTCCAGCCGCTCGTCCTTCCTCTTCTACAAAACACCTGCTCATGACTTTGCCCCCTTTCCTCAACCTTCCTTTTTGCTTTTAATAAGCATTAAAACACACGCACTTCTGGCTACTGTTAGTTTTGTGTTGCATCTTCTCCCATTTTGTCATTTTGTTTTATTTTAAAAGATTTTATTTATTTATTTGAGGGAGCGAGAGCATGAGTAGGAGGAGCCGCAGAGGGAGAGGAAGTAGCAGACTTGCCACGGAGCAGGGAGCCCGATGTGGGACTCGATCCCAGGACTCCAGGATCATGACCTGAGCCGAAGGCAGGCGTCCAATGATGACCACCTAGGCGTCCCTTCATTTTATTTTTAAAGATTTTATCTATTTGAGAGAGAGAGAGAGAGAGAGAGAGAGAGAGAGAGAGAGAGAGAGAGAGAGAGATTGCGGATGAGCAGGGAGTCTGACGTGGGGCTCGATCCCAGGACCCTGAGACCGTGGCCTGAGCCAAAGGCAGATGCTCAACTGAGCCCCCAGGCGCGCCCCCTATTTGCCATTTGACGGCAGGTGTCTTTTGGTGAGCTCTTCCGGAGGGTCTAGATTGAGAAATTCTTCCTTGCTCAAGGTGTCTAAGTCCGTCTTCTGTGAATTGCCTTGTTCTTCCTAGATTCTCCGGGTCCGTCGGGAGCCCGACTCATCTGCCACGGTCTCCCTCAGCGTCGCCTCCTGCAGTCCCCGTGCACTGTCCCCACCCTGCAGGTCTCCGGCCTCGGCCCTCCTTTCCATGCCCACCGCTGCTCCATGTGGCAGCCTCCTGCTGTGTCACAGGAAGCTGGGAGGTGTGAGACCAACTATGGGTTAGCGGTTGTTCAAGTCTTAGGAGTGCCCGGCTGGCTCGCTTGGCGGGCAGGCAACTCTGGATGTCGGAGTTGTGCACTGGAGGCCCACGCCGGGTGTAGATTACGCCGTAAGCAGCACTAAAAGGGCGCCTGAGTGGCTCAGCTGGTGAAGTGTGATCCCAGGTCCTGGGGTGGACCCTGCATCGGGCTCCCTGCTCAGCGGGGAGTCGGCTTCACCCTCTCCCTCCGCCGCTCTCCCTGCTTCTGCTCTCTCTTGCTCGCTCACTGTCTCTCAAATACTTCTTTAAAAAAATATGTTATTTATTTATCCATGAGAGACAGAGAGAGGCAGGGACGCAGGCAGAGGGAGAAGCAGGCTCCGTGCAGGGAGCCCGACGTGGGGCTCGATCCTGGGACTCCAGGATCATGCCCTGAGCCGAAGGCAGATGCCCAACTGCTGAACCACCCAGGGGTCCTGTCAAAAAAATAAAATATTAAAAAAAAAAGCACAAAGTATTGGTTATTTCTTTCAAAAGGTGTTTAGAAATCAGTGAGAGAGGTTGATGACTGTCCCAGTGTCTCTCATTTGCCAGCACTTCCAAATGGCAGAGGTCCCCATTCGCCCGCCTCAGGGGGCCGGGGGCTGCATGAGGTGTATGTCATCATGGAGACGGGCAATTACAGGTCCCCAGTGCTCCCCCCACGGCCCATTTCTTTTGGTTGCACCAGAACCGGGTTGGAGCCCTAGGGTGTGCGTGTCAGAAAGATAGGCTGAGCACCCTGGAGTCTGTGCCCAGAATGTCTCCCCGCCCCAGAAGACCCTTCCAGAAAAGTCTCTTTCTGAGCCTCCTGGTTGAAACGTGTTGGCAGTGCCCTGATGCTCAGAGGATGGCACCCAGACCCCCTCGTCTGGGATCCATCCTGGCCCCGGCCACACTTTCTGATTCTCCACCCCTCCATCCCATCAACTCTAGGCCCTGGCCACAGTTCCCCCAAGGGCAGATCCTTTGATGCCACCGAGTTTCCAGATGTATCACTGCCCTGCTGAGAGTGCTGTTCCTCAGGTCTCCAGCTGACCATCTCCCTCTTCCAGCCTAAATCTCACCACCTCCGGGGAGCTTTCCGGAGATTCCTCGGGGAGCTGCTCCAGCATCTACCTGCCAGGGGGAGTCACGCTGCACTCTAAAGAATCGGTTTTTGATCGGATGAGTGTGCGCGCCTCCCAGACAAGCCAGGGCTCCGTAGCCCGGGGACTACGCCCAGCAGGAGCTCGGAGAAGGCTTAGGTGCCCCCCCCGCCCCCGCCCTGCAACTGCGGAGCACTGACATGGCACCACTGGAGTTTGTCCTGCTGGCCAGGCAATAGCCGGGGCGCCCTGCTAAGCCCCAAACAAGAGGAGAGTGAGCACTCGGGGGGTGCACGAGCAGTAAAGGACAGAAGATTTGGAAGGCCTGGGGATTCAGAGAAGCAGACCCTTTTCACCCTCCGCCCCCCCCCCCGGGAGAGTCACAGAAAACACCCAAGAGACCCGCTTGTGTGAAGAGGTAGAGGTTTATTGAAATATAAACATTCGAGAACATGTAAGATAGAAAATAACCACAACATATACAGACACTTGCTGCAAGAGGACGTCTGAGGTATTTATCACCGCCTAGGCTACCGTGTGCTAGCACATCTTCCTGGTCGGAGCCCGCGTGGACAGGGCGGGGGGGCAGAGCGGCCCGGCCCGCGGCCTGCCCTGGGGCCTTTGGGACTGAACCGTCCGGGAAAGCTGCTCTGGCCCAGGCCCGGCCCCTGGAGCACCTGCGGGCATTCCCGCTCTTGGGCTTTCACGCCGAGACCCTGCTTTTGTCCTTGAGGGCAGAGAGGGTTTGCCGAGAGGGCAAGGCCGGGCAGCTGCCTAGGGAAGGGGGATCCAATGACCAGAAAGCCGCAGTGCGTGCCCGTGTCCTCCGGCTGGGAAGAGTCCATCCTTCGTGACCAAACCCCTGAGAAAGACACACTGGCCAAGTGTTCCGACACTTTCAAGTGGGCCCAGCGCCAGCCAACTGGGCTCGTCCCTGGCCCCAGACCCCAGATGCCCTTCTCTGCCCGCCGCCTGCGCTTACCTGGTGGGCAAGGTGGGGAGGCTCCCAAGGGCGGAAGAGGGTTAGGCCCCGGGGAACGGGGCTGTGTGAGTGTGACAGCGAGTGTGCAGAAGGCCGGGGGGAGCTGCAGCTTACCGGGCTGAGGTAGCTGTTTTGTGCTCAAGCTTTTGAGCTTCCTTTCCTTGCGTAGACGGGGCCGAGGGCCAGCCGTGCGAGGGCTCCTGCCCGCGTGGCCTGTCCCCGCCAGAGCCTGGTGATGTCACAGCGCTGGCGCTCTAGGAACTCTGCGGGCCGTGCCCAATGAGGTGAGCCTTGTGGGACAATCACCCCATCTTCCCGACACGGGAGCAGCCTGCTCCAGCCCAGGGCCCAGAGAACAGAGGTCCCGGCATCCCCGATTCCCTGGGGCAGCCCCGCCGCTACAAGGCCCGGGGCCTCCCTGGCTTGCCCCTGCCCTGAGCTGGGAATGCTGAGTCCAAGACCACCGTTCTGTCCCCACCCTGGAGGGCCGGCAAGGGTGTGGGACAAGCCCTGCTTCGGCAGGAAATGGGTCGGGGGCCATCTCCGGGACTGCGTGGCCTCAGGACCCAACCTTTGCCAGCACGGGCCTCTCGATCCACTGTCTCCCCCGCCACTCTGATCCCTGAGTCATCCCTCCTGCCTGCCTCCCCGCCTCCTCACTGGGGTCCTAGCGAAGGGCCAGAGGGGCTGGGGTACCAAATGTTTGCTCGGCTCTGGGGGTGATCTGCTTTCATTTCTTTGGTGCTACAATAACGACAATAAAAATTAAAAACAAAAAAGTCAGCAAAACACATATAAAAAAAGATTTCAGAGTTGCAAATACTTCCTGAAGAATCAAAACATCAGCAATTACAAATCTGAGGTATTTCAATGAACCTGACGTCAGCAGGTCTGGGGACACTGGGGCCGAGGTGGCCCCATGAGACGGGAGGGCCCAAGGGACAAGTGGGCTGTTCCGGGAGAGCCGGCCAGTAAGGGCGAGTGAGGGCGTGAGGTCTGGGAGGGCCAGAGAAGGGTCAGTGTGGAGCGGGTGCCAGGGCCTGCCTGGGCAGCCCCCTTGGCTCTGCCTCTCCCTCAGCAGGTGCTCAGTCAGCATGGACCTGAGGACTGCCCTCATGTACCCCTTCCTGGGACTCTAAAGGGGGGGTTGAGGGCCCTGAGGGCTGCTTCAAGACTTGGCTTTGAGGGACCCACACCTCTGGAACCACACCCGGTGGCAAGGTGGGTTAGGAGGGCCCCATCCCGTGCTCAGCAGAGAAGGGCCACGAAGGCATGGTCTTGGCGCTGAGCAGCCCACGCGGAATTAGTCTGGAGGTCTGAGCAGGGGATGAAGCCAGGGACCCTGGGGTCACGGCAAGAGGCAGGGAAAGGGCAATAAATTAAAGGGGAAATGCTCTGGAGGGCCTCCAGCCCTGTGCCGGCTTACCGATTGTCGATACACTGTGCCCGGGACGGGAGGTGGCCTGCGGACCCGGGAGGAAGCCGGGAGCCCGCGGACCCCGCCCGGTTCTCCAGGACAATCCCTGATTGGACAACGCTGCCCTGTCCTGCCCCTGCAGCCTCTCCCTGTCCCCAGAGTACAGCAGGACCTGAATGGAGCCTGGACAGAAGGACACGTCCAAACTCTCAACATCTGGCCAAATGGTGTTTGACATGGGCTCTGTGAGATGAGGTAAACTGTGCATCAGCCTCCTTCCCTCTCGGCAGGAGAGCGCGGGGTGGGGAGCCGGGTCCTGGCCGTCAGAGGGACCAGCTGGTGGAGGGCTCGGCGCTGGGGGTGCCCCGGGACGATGTAGGGCTCGGGGAGCAGTGAGAGCTGCTGCTGCCGCTGGCACTGCCGCCCACGCTCGGGGGGGCAGGCCCCGCGAGGAGGTGGACCACGGGCTTCTGGGCGAACAGCACACCTGGGCAGGGGGAGCGGGAGTGAGCGGCTGAGCCAGGCGGGCGCCCTGTCCCCCGTGTGCCCCTGCTGGAGCCCGCGCACCTTGCCCTCAGGGGGCCTCCAGGGGCAGGGAGGCACACAACGCTCCTGAGGAGAGAACCAGGGCCCTGTGGACGCTGCTCCCCTCCCCAGGGCTGGGGGTGTAGATGGGAACAGGAGGGGTGTCAGAGGGCAGGGGCAGGGTGGAGATGTGCCAGGACAGGGCCTTGGAAGGGAGGTGGCAACGTGCTGGAGGTGGCCCGGCAGCGTGAGCTCCTGAGCGGGAGGACGGTGACAAAGGCAGGGTGTGCGGAGGTGAGGCTGCAGAGAAGGGAGGAGAAGGGAGGCCTGTGTGCCTCCCAGGAGGAAGGCTGGCCCTGCACCGTGGTGATGCCCCAGGAGTTGCTAAGAGGGGGAGGGACATGATGAGATCCGTGTTTTAATTGCCCTCTGTGGAGCTGGAGGACCGCAAGGCCATTACTCCAACAGGGGGGGGAGAGGCCCAAGCCAGGGCAGCAGCAGGGTGGGGGGTGCAGGCGGCAGGAGGGGGAGAGAAGAGAGCAGCGGGGACCGCTCGGCCCTGGGGGACCTGTGGGCTCTGAAGGTTCTGGGGGCTCTGGGGAATCTGGAGGCTCTGGGGGCTCTGGGGCGGCTCTGGAGGACCTGTGGGCTCTGAAGGTTCTGGGGGTTCTGGGGGCCCTGGGGAACAGGCTCCTGGTTCCTGGCCTATGCAGCTTGCACACCCACTGACAAAGGGCGCAGGTGGGACAGGGGTTGAGGTGGGTGAGGTCCGGGGAGCCTTCACCTCTCTTCTGACTGCTCCCCATTCTGAGAGGAGGCGTTATCTTCTCCTTTCTCATGAGAGAGGGGAGAGGACAGCAGAACCAGGTGCCAATCCCTTCCTTCCCCATATTCTCCGTGGACCTACTCACGGCCCCCATGCCGCCTAGGCCATCGAACAGCACCACATGACAAAGGGCACCTGCGCCTTGCCCGCTGGCTCGCCTGGTCTCCTCGAGGGCCCCCGGTGTTAGGCAGAGACCTCTGAACATGGCCTCTGAAGCACTGGCTGTGCGGTGACTTGGCATCACATCGCCCCTTCCCTGGCTGCAACCTGATGCCCATGGCCAGCAGCCCAGCAGAGCTTGAGCGCGAGGCCTGCAGCGTGGTGCCCCGAGGGCCCGGCTCCTACCCCCCAGAACGGGAGCGTCCAAAGGGACAGAGCACGGCTCCCCCCAAGGTTTGATGGGAGGTGCAGCTTTAAAGCTCCTCCACCTGGCACCTCCCGGGCCGTCCGGGTGACAGGAGGCCAGCACGCCCAGGCTCCCCGGTGCCCCTCATCAGGCTGTGCTGGGCTTGTTCCCAAACTCCCACCTACATCAGAGAAACGGGAGCTGGAAGGGACTGGCTTCAGGCACCTGGGAAGACCTGGTAGAGATGCTAAACCACAGGCGACAAAGCCCCGTCCCGCTAGACCCGAGAGACGACTGTGGAGGGCTGGGGAGAGCCGCGCGCACGGGCTGCTTGCGCTGCACTCAGACTCCGCCGCCTGCGGTCAGTCCTCGGTCCATTTTAAAGACAGGGAACAACAGGGGGTGTTTAGGGGGGTGGGGCTGAGCCGGTCCGAGGAGACCCCTGCCGGCCACGGTGGAGGCGGCTTACGCCACGATGTCTAGGGCGAGGGCATGGAGCCTATTACGGGGCTTCCCACTAAAGGGCGGCCGCAGTTAACGAGCCAGCCATGGTCTCAGGGGGTCGGACGAAGGGCTCCTGTTGCTCTGTCAGAGCTCTGTCATCCAGTTAGCAACCCTCTGCTTCCCCTAAGCTGGAAACACCACCTAGCCCTTGGAACCTCGAGATTACATGCAAGGGAGGGGGCAGCCGGGGCCGTGGGACTCCCTGGGAGTGTCAAGAGCCTCACCTGCGTAGGTGGTGCCATCAATGTCCACGGACATGTTGATGCTCCCGATGCTGCCTGCGGCCAGGTTCAGTGCTGCAGCTGAGGCCTCTGATCGGTCTTCTGCTGGGACGAGGGAGACAGTGGGCCTGGTCAGGTCTCCCGGCACCAGTGTCCTCTCCGAGGCCCTCCCACTTCCCCAGACAGGCCACAGCTGCCCGAGGCCTCCCACTGCTAGACAGCAGCCATATGCTCTTCTCTCGGGCGTAAGGTCTGGCATGAGAACCCGGGCTTGCCAATGTTCTCTCACTTGCTATGTTCTCCTCTGAGCCACTTCTGCCCCCGTGTCCTCTGTTGTCCAAGGAAAGGGATCACAGGCGGCAAGGACCGACCCAGCTCCTGGCTACACACCGACCCTTGTCACGCGATCCAGCAAACCCTGATTCAGCACCCACTACCCATCAGGCTGGGGAACCGGAGATCTGAGGGACCCAGCACTGCCTGAGGACCTGCCTTTCCTCCCCCCACCCCAACCGGGCTAGGTCCTCAGGGAGAGGGTCGGCCTGCCCAGCGTGTGGCCCGGCACCTGGCACCCGTTTCACCCTGGCGACCTTGGATTTGCAGAGAGCTGCATGCGCTGGCACCCAGGCCCTCTGCCTGGCTCACCCCGACTCTGCCCTTTCGTCGTGCAGCCAGGAATTCTTCCAGAGGAGCTGCTTTTCTATTAGTGTCTGGCTTGTGCAGGGCCAAGGGCACCGGCCCCGAGAAGGTAAGAGAGCAGAGCTGTGCTGCCAGCGTCCTTCTGCTCCTCACCTGGGGACAGGGCGCAGGGGGTGCGGCCCGCGAATATGCACAGCTCCCTTCACACCTGACTTCTTTCCATCACATGCTTAAGTTTGTTCTGAGGTAGAGTCAAGGGCAAGAACGGTAAAGAAAATGTAGGGGGAGAACAGGAGAAAGGAGGAACAAGGGGCACGGAGTGTGGGATTCAGGAGCCGAGGAGGGAGCCAAGGAGGGAGGGCACCTGAGAAACGAGGAGGGGAAGGGAAGATGGCAGATGGCGGCTGCCAAACTTGTATTTCCTCTTTCCCTGGGTTCCTGAGGGTCACAGGCGGCCTGGCCTGAGGCACTGGGCCTCCTCGGAAGCTTGGGAATGGAGGTGCTGCCTTCCACCCAGGGCCCAGGTCTACATCCGGGGAGGTGCTGGGGGCGGGGGGGAGGTGAGCCCTTTCATTTAGACAGATCAAAAGGCTGGTGAGGAAGAGAAGCACAGCAGCCACCCCCAGGGCCTCTGGCTCCTCCTCGAAGGACTCCTCCCTTTTGCTAGAGAACAGGGCACTGCCTGAGTCAATTTTTGGTGAGCTGAGATCCCAGTGGGCACAGAAGCCCCATGTGACTACCTGACCTTGCGACGGTCCTGGGGACCTACAGGCCCCCCACCCCAGTCCTGGGACATGACCAGGCCCTTGAGTGGAGCCCAGGTCGACACCCAGCAGGAGGGGAGGCGCTGCCCTGGCCTGGCACTCACCCCTGCCATTGATCCTGATCTTCATGGGCAGCTGCCGCGCCATGCTGAACAGGCTGCGCTGGAAGGCCTGCTGTACCAGGCGCTGCTCCTCCTCTGACAGCCTGGACACCTTCTTCTCAGGGGGCTCCCCTGCCTCCAGCCGCTCCCGCAGCTGCTCCAGCGTGGCCGTCCGGGTACCGGCCTGCTGGCCTGCCAAGGTCACGGGCACAGCCAGGCGATTTGGCACAGGCACCGTCGTCACTGGGACTCCATCACCTGGCAAAGGCACCAGAGCTGGACCAAGCATCCCACCTGACACTGGCCCCACCATGCCCTTCCCTGCCCACCCTCCTCCCTGCTGGGCCCTGCAGACCTTTCCTGAGAGTGCTTGCTGGGGATATCCGAGGGCTGCTGGCATTGGCGCCACTGCTGGAACCCAGCCCGAGGATGGGGAAGCGGATCTTGGGTGGGGAGAGGAGGGCAGGCGCCCCGGCAGTGGCAGCAGCGGCAGCAGCAGGTGAGTAGCCAAGGAGGGAGGAGCTGTAGCTGGGCCGCCGGCCCTCCCTCCGATTGCCATCGATGGCTGCCTGGAGCTCGGCCGGGGAGCTCAAGGCTTTCTTCTCACACTCATAGGCATAGAGATACTTCATGTACCTGGAGGGAAGGAAGGGAGGGAGGAGAATAATCCAGAATGGTACCAGAGGCCACCCAGTTTAAGCTCATGGGTCTCTGTGGGGCAGGCCTCTGGGACATAGGATCAGTTGGCAGAAGAGAGAGATCAGGGCCCTGGGGTGCCCTGGCCCAGGCCTGTCGAGCTGCTACTCAACACCGCAGCAAACTCTGCTCCAACCGAAGGTACCAATCTTTTTTTTTATTTTTTTATTTTAAGATTTTATTTATTTATTCATGAGAAACAACGAGAGAGAGAGAGAGAGAGAGAGAGAGAGAGAGAGAGAGAGGCAGAGACCCAGGCAGAGAGAGAAGCAGGCTCCATGCAGGGAGCCCGACGTGGGACTCGATCCCGGGACCCCAGGATCACACCCTGGGCCCAAGGCGGCGCTAAACCGCTGAGCCACCCGGGCTGCCCTGGAGGTACCATTCATTAAGAGAAATAAAGACCATCTTCACTCATGTTTTGGGTTTGTTTTGGCAGCGTTTTAGGGGTCATTTAGAAATGCTTTGCAATGTATTCCTGGCTCCTGGATGCCCTAACCATCCTGAGCCAGGCTGGTCCGAGAGGAACAACCTCTCCACATGCTGTAGGTGAGTGGACCTACGGTGCCATCCCTCGTTGCATCCCACGTCCCAAGAAACAATTCTCTACCCAAGAAGCTGAAGCTTGACAGAAGGACTGCTGTACTGATTACAGTTCCGAAGATAAAACCCTCTACTTTTTAACAAGGCTGTGACAGCTGCCTGCCTGATGCTCCCTCTGTATGCTCCAGAGAGTGACACCCAGTGTGTTCCAAAGGACAGATTCCCCTCTGCTCCTCACTCTCTGATGCTACTCCTGGTTCTCCTGCTCCTATTAGCCTCATAATTAACTCAGACGATTACAAAAACAGGTCCCAAATCCCAGGTCCTGTTGCCGGGCATGCTGAGTGTCAGGTAGGAAGAGCTAGGCTCAGGGTGGACGTGCCGTGTGGCAGACACTGCCCTGGAAAGAGCGGTGATGGGGCCGGAGGGCCAGCAGCGAATCTGAGCTCTATCACTGCCAGCTGGTAGATCAAACCATTTAACCTCTAAGACTCGGTTTCTGTTTTCTGAAAAACAGGATGGCACCTACCTCCTAGGGTTGATGGTGAGGTCTGCAAGAAACAGAATGGCAAAGGAGCCTAGGGAGGCACTTGGGAAATGGTGGCTCTCGTGATCATAGAAAGGGATGCATCTCAGCAAGTTCCTGGCTGCGTCGGGAATCCTCATCCTGCCCACTGTACAGTGGAATTTCCTTCCTTCCCCTCGTCTAGGTTAATGCATTCCCTTTCTCCCAGCCTCAGGTTCCTTCCCCCAGGGCCCTGGCCACTCACTGGGTCCTCAGGGTAAAGGCGGCGCTGGTGATCGACGTGGGCAGGTTCAGGCCTTTGGTGATCTCCCGCCAGATCTTCTTGTTGATGATCTCCACCAGGCCTCCCTTCTCTGTCACCAGCTTATACAGCATATACAGGTCCAGGATCTGCTTGGCCATGATGGGGATTCGGTTGATGGGCGTCCCTGTGATTGTCCAAATAGAGAAACAGAGGGTTGTGTCATCAAGCAGAGAAAGAAGACGTATGCACGCGCCCAGCTTTTGCTGAGTTGGAAATACATTCGTGAGTCTGCTTTCATCTGACTCAAGCTCCCAAAGCTCGAAGCTATCAGACTTGCTGCCAGTTCTCCTTGGGATGAGCAGAAAGACCGGTCCAACTCACAGGCCGTGTGGTCCTGCTTAAAGCATTAGCCTCCCTGGGCCTGTCTTCCCATTGGTAAATGAGGGCTGTGCTAGATGGCTTCAGAGCTGTGCTGTGTCTGGCTAGCAGGACGAGCCCAGATTCTTTCCTAATGATGTGGCAACTCACACTCCTCTGGGACCTTCAGAAGCCACTCAAGCCGTCCTACCACCCACCTGCACTGCTCCCAGGGCCGTCATCTGTATCTCTAGGTGCACTTTTTAACAGTGTTTTCATTTGCATACCGCCTGCTTCCTTCTCTCCTGCAGCAGGCAGGGCACAGCAATGTTTTCTCTCCTGTGTCCCCACCAAGTCAAAGGAGCTGCTGGACACACACATCTCCAGGGGGATGAAAAGCTACTGAACAACTCTCTCCCCACTAATCACTCCACCCCTCCCTGGCCTCTGACAGAGGGAGGGTCACAGCAGCTTCCGCCACTGGCCCCGAAGGGAAGTGAGAGGAGCCGGGGACTTGATTAGGAAGCCTGGCACCAGGCAGGAAGGCCCGCTAATGAGCACCAGGGGACGGCAGGGAGGGCGGGCCTGGGGTCCTTTCACAGGCCGCTGGGATGCTCGGCGGGAGGCGTGATGGATGACTGTCATTTGGCAGCCTCAGGATTAATGATCTGGAGGTCAGAGGGGAGAATTCCACAGGGAAGGGTCACTGTCCGGGGCAGGGTATGAGACTTGTTGCCTTTTGATAGCAAACTCCTTTTACTGTACACAGGCTGCTCTCCTCTGCCTCGGCCCCCTCCCACCGCCCCAGACACGCCGAGGCCTCACTGGCTGCCTGCTGGATGGTAAGCCAGCTGGATTTTCCAGAAGTGCTATTTGTTTCAACTCCTCCCGCTTCTTTCCCCTCAAGAAATGGCAGTTTCTTCACAGCCCTGAACTGCTGGCCTCATCAACTCTTTCACAGGGTAATTCAAGCGAGAGAATGGAGCAGAGGGTCCCATGAAGAAGAGCGAGTAGCATGAACATGGGGGCGATGTGTGGCAGCACCAGGCCTCTTTCCTAAGTGTGAGGTGGGGCCAGGAGGTCTTCGAGAACCTCGTCTTGGTCAGCTGGTCCTTGGAGGGTCAAAGATGAACAGGTCCCAGTGCTAGATCCAAAGATTCACAGGTGAAACTTCAGAGGACTGTGGGTACACTGTCAATACACACAGCCCCGTGTTGGTCAACTTTTCCTCCCTGTGCTGCTCTGGACAGTCAACCTGATTGCTGACACAGACAGGAGGGTCTGGTACAGCAGAACTGCTCTAAGGGCCACCTCCTTCTGGAGGCCTGTCTACTCGAGCACACTCACAGCGCAGGCCAGTTCACATCCTCATGGCGTCACCTGGAGACTCTAGAAGGCCCACTCTCAAGTTCCCCTCCCATTTCCAGAAGCTTCCGGGACATCTTTACGATGACCTGTTCACTTCCAAGTCAATATTCACACTAAGCTCATCCTTATCCCAAAAGCCAGCCCCTCCATTCTCACCACTTCCTCTTCTTCCAGTGACACCACCATGCTCTGAGGTATGAGGAGGCACTGGCTCCTCTTTTCTCCCCTGTTGGCCACCTTGAGGTTGTTAGGAGGCTTCACTGATTCTTCCTTGGAGGTGCCTCCAAATGTGTACTCTGTTCCAGCCCAGAGGCCTCTTACCCCCATGCAACACCTGCACACCGCTGCCACCATGGCACTCGCTTCCTTGTTTAACACCCACAGATCCTGATGCCTGCCCAGTGTCACCACCCGGGTCACCAACACCCCTGAAGACACTGCCTAGGAGGTATTCCAAGCATCCACACAACGCACTCTCACTCTTCAGCTGCCTCTCGTCACGCCCATCCCCAGCCTAACACGACCTGCCTCTGCTTAAATCCTCTCTGTGCTGGGCTTCAGGAAGAATCTGCTAACTATTCCTGTTTGGAGGGATTTCTTCTCTCTCAGAATTCCTATCACAAGCCCTACAAATTCAGCAGGTGAAAGGTCTCTAATCGTTTCATGTATGTCCGCCAGGTATCCCAGGAGGACTGTGAGCTCTGTGAAGGCAGAGACAAACTGTTTCTCCTTCACTAGGTCTTAAATATTAGAGTGTTTAATAGGTTAAACTGCCGTGCAAATGGGGAAAAAACATGTTTCTCAGAGTCAAAACAACCAGCTATGAGTCACCCAACAGGGACCATCAGATGCACTTCTGTCATGTGGTGTGCCCACCAGACCCGTCGCCAGCATCACCTGTCTGATGGCAACAGCCCCAAGCAGAAGTCACCCTCTCTTCTCAGACTCCAGCAGGTTCATTAGGGTCATGACCCTTGGTAAACAGCGTGGGGAAAGGAGGCCCAGGGTGCCTAAACTCTTTGTATCCAGGTTCCATGAAAAGCAGACAAGCAGCAGCAGAATGGCTGGAGGCTGGGGCGCCTGGGGGTAAAGAGTCTATGACCGCACTCAGCGGGGTGGAAGGGAAGGGGACGTAGGGGTAAAAGTGCAGAACGTGGCTGGGTCTGTGCTGTCCATGGAAGGCGCAGCTGAGTGTATAAGCACCAGGCAGGGGACTTGCCCAGGTGATTGGGGCACCGTTCTCCAGAACAGTCGCCTTGGGGAACAAGCTACGCTGTGGTTTTGGAAATCCATTTGCAAATGGCCTTCTAAGTCGGCACTATTTTCATCGGGATCTCTAATGGTGGTAGATCTTCAAACATAAAAGGTGTGTTTTACATTTAGAAATGGTCATTCATGGAGGCAAGCCAGGACAATAGAAGTGCCCAGGCCGTTTAGCACCTCTGGGGGAAACCACAGGTCTGGGGTACACTGGCACCTGGTGGTGGCCCCCACTGTCCTGCTCTGTGGTCCAGCCAGGTACCCTGGTTCAGAGTTCAGTGGATAAGAGGACATGCTCTTCCCAGAGTCTGGCCCTCTGTGAAACTACTAAAAATAGCTCCCAGGGCAGGAAGCCCCCGGGGAACTGTCAGAAACAAAGCCAAGACCATCCTGAGCGCTAGCTCTAGATGACTGTACGGTTTTCTCACATTATCCAGACAATCCAGACACAAAACCTGCCCTGGCTTCGATTCTTCTAACAACCAAGAGGCTGGATGTTCAGGCTGGTCTGTCTCTGCGTCTGCTCTCTCCCTAACGGACCTGGCAGCTGTCCCCTTGTCCCAAGGAGACTCCGCGATGAAGAGAAGGGAGACCTTTTAGCTGAGTTTACCTTCTGAACAAGAAAGAGAACCAACAGACCATACTGGGGGGTGGGAATGGGGATCGACATATTCAGGTCTCAGTTTCCCCATCTGTGAAATGAGTAATTTGAACTAGATGACTTTCAGACCCATGAGTCTAAGAATAAACCTTTAAACAAAAATGGGATGCCTGGGTGGCTCAGTGATTGGGCGTTGGCCTTTGATCCTGGAGTCCCAGGATCGAGTCCCATGTCAGGCTCCCTGCGAGGAGCCTGCTTCTCCCTCGGCCCGTGTCTCTGCCTCTCTCTCTCTCTCTCTCATGAATAAATAAATAAAATCTTTAAAAAAAACCTGATAGTTATGCTTATTACCGAAGGGAGGGTAACTTGTCTTTAGGAGCATGCCTGAATTATGGATAATGTTGCCAAGTGACCTTGAGACGGAAAGGTTTAGGAACCTGTCCTAGGAAAGCCCTTGTGTGACCATGGACCAGATCCATACACTCTCTGCCCAACCTTGCAGGAAAGAGGGGCGTCTCTGGCCTGCTCTCTCTGGACTAGATTCTATCTTCCTCTAAGGAGGCTCCTCATCTGAGAGGTGATAGGTCTCTGTTCACCATAAGTTGAAAAGCAACCTGCGAAGAACCAGGAAGGAGGCAAGCAGCCACTGCAGAGAGCGCTCTGGGGTCACTACGGCTGGCCCTGCAGGAGGCCGAGTCTCCGCCCCCCTCACCCCTCCCAGGGGGGCCTGAGCACCCAGTGGGGAAGCCTGTGTCCTGTCAGTCACTGCTATCAAAGCAGGAGCTGGGATTGAGGGTAATTAATCATGCTCCCTCTGACAGGAATCCAGGGCCTTATCTGTACCCCAAGAAATGCCGCTGGTCTCCAGTTCCCTCCTCAATAAAGGAGACTGACAGATCCAACAAAAGGGCCCTTATCAGATTTCAGCCAGGAGCCTGAGGCAGCCTGAGGGACGGGGTAGAAAAGACTTTTATGAGGGCCCTGGGCCCAGCATGGACCCAGCTCTGCTGTGGGGCTCCAGGGGCTTTAACCCTTGGGTGGTGGGAATGCCACTGGGCGCTGGCACCAGTGAAGGCCAAAGCTGTCATCAGAAGCTTCCAGCCAGGGGGAGCCAAACAAAAAAAAAATCCTGCTCCCTGGCACTTTGCTCTCCTTCCTGCCACTCAGACCGCGGAGCCAGAATTAGGGGTGGGGTGAGGGCAGGCGAAGGAGATGGCCTCTTCGGGCACTGGAGACAAAGATGGGAGGTGGCAGGAGTGTTGGAGGGAGGGCCACTTCCTCCCCACCACAGAGAATGGAACCATTCCAATGACAACCAGATGCAATCAGGGGCAGGGACCCCAGACAGTCACATGGCTGCCTTCCTGCCCACTGATGAGGGGTGAGGGCCCTGGACCCAGGACGTGGCCCTGCCCAGGACGCTCGCTGCTTTTTCCTAGCTTTAAAAAAGATCATTAATCATTTCCATGGCCTGTCAAGAGAGTTGGGCAGCTGAGCAGAGAGCCTAGAAGCATTAGGACCCATGGTAAGTAGGGACTGTGCACAGGCAGACAGACAGGCTTCCTGCCCTTCCTTGCGCATTAATTCTTGCCCTGCTC